TGGGGGAACTTGGGGAAACAGGAAGATTGGGATAAAGGAAGGTTGGATAGGGGAGAAGGGAAGCACATATCTTAGTTAAAAGAGCCACCTTAGTGTTGGCAAGAGACTTGAACCTAGAGTGGCTCCCAGGAGCCCAAGGCGATGTCCCCAGTTAGTCCCTTGGGAAGCTGAGGATAGGGAACCTGAACTGACCCTATCCTATAGCATTACTGATGAATATCTTTCATATCACCATAGAACCTTCATCTGGTGATGGATGGAGATAGAGACAGAGACCCACACTGGAGCACTGGACTGAGCTCCCAAGGTCCCAATGAGGAGCAGATGGAGGGAGAACACGAGCAAGGATGTCAGGACCACGGGGGATGCACCCACCCACTGAGACAGTGGGGCTGATCTATTGGGAGCTCACCAAAGCCAGCTGGACTGTGACTGAAACAGCATGGGATAAAACCGGACTCTATACTCATTTTTTTATTGGATTATTTTTTTCTATTGGTGACCAGTTTCTTGATTTCTTTGAATATTTTGGAGATCAGCCCTCTGTCTGATTTGGTGTTGGTGAAGATTTTTTCCCATTCTGTAGTCTGCCATTTTGTTAATGTCCATTTTTAAAAAAAAAAAAAAAAAACATCCTCCCAATGTTGTATGTGTAGATTACATACTGTACTGACACACCCTTAAAGATATCACTGAAAAATATTCTATTGTGTAAATTTACCAAATTTTCTTTATTCATTCTTAAGTTAAGGGGCATCTAGGTTGTTTCCAGGCTCATTACAAATAATGATGCTATGAACATAGTTGAGCAAGTGATGTTGTGGTGTAATTGAGCATCCTATAGGAATATGCACAAGAATGGTTAGATACTCATAATGCACCATTTAATTCTTTACTGAGTATTCTTATTCAATAAGGAACAGAAATTTTTCTTCCTCTTAAAATTACAATAATATGCCCAGCTTTACAGTATGCATGTCTCAACATACGAAGTTGTCCATTGTTTTTAACCATAGTAGCTGTATATAGATTCCATAATTTTTTTTTCCATGTGCTACTGATCACAACCCAATGATTATATCAGGAATGAGGAAGGTGTCTGTGATAGGGAGAGCTAATGTTCTGTTCCCTTGAAGAGTCATATCTGTATATATCTGTTAGAAGTAGAAGGGGAGACAAGAAGGACTGAGTCTTGGAATAATGGGAAAACAAATGGTACTAATCATCTGTCTTGAAACTCTTCTGATATCACTCATGGAGAACAATCAACATTGTAATGAAAAAACGTAGCATCAGTACCCTGTCTGAAATTCACTTTCAAAACTGAGTATTATTTTAATGTATGACAAGGCCACTTTGAAACCATGCCACTAAAATAATTATCAGTTGACTGGAATTAGTTGAATGAGTCATATGGATTGGTTCAGAAAGTGTGAATACTGGATGTAACTTATACAAAAGTTTATCAGGAAACACAATCTGTATATTGCTAATAGGTCTTATGATTCCCCAAAAGTTCTCTGTTGCTCCACAGCACCTTCATGGCAATTATGAGGAACATATATATCGCATGTGCTGCCCCCAAGAGGCCAAGATGAAGGCAGGGTTAGGAAAGTAGCTGGAACGTGAATTAAGATGTTAGGAGTTATTTAACCACAGTATACTCCATGTGCCTTTGTCTCATAATAAAGTATTTTGATTTGTGCTGCTTCTACACGGTGTTTATTTTTCAAGTCGAAGAAATTACTGTTTTGTGAATCAGGAAATGTTTTCCTGAAGATAAACATAAAGTTTTGAACTTCTGCTTTGGCCAGTGTGCAGGTAGAAGTCAGTTGTACTTCTTGTTCCCAAAATTTCCTCTGTGGTTATTTGGTATGTTCCTCCTACACAACACAGTAACTCTCACCCAGGATAGTAGCTATTACCCAAGAGGAAGAATCAATCTGTAAATGATGCAGACTCAATGTTTAGACAAACCACTTAGATTTCTGCATTCTATTGCTTCAAAAATCAGTTTATGCTTTGTCATGCAGGTACTTAGCCTTTCTTTCAGCAGTTTCTTAAACTGTTGATGGTTTTAGTAAAAGACTTCTTGACTATTAAATAAGATATCATGTTGATAAAATTAAGGAAGCGATATTTATGATGGTCTAATTTATTTGGCTTATATTTCTTAATTTATTATATTTCCTTTATTAATATTTATTAATTATATTTATTAAGTTTATATTTCCTAAATTCAGGGAAAATATGTGCACAGTATTACATATATTATTGCATAAATTACTAATCTGGACATTAATAATTCTCAGAATTTGAGAGAATTAAAAAATTTCACTTTACTCATGAGTTGGTGACATACCTGATTCAAGTATTCACACACTCACAAAAACTTCATATATGTGTGCATGTGTGCGTGTGTGGTGTGTGTGTGTTTGTGTGTGTGTGTGTGTGTGTGTGTGTGTGTGTGTGTGTAAAACCCAAGTCAGAATACCATTTTGTGCTATTTCTTAAGAAACTAAAGGATATATCTAGAATTAAAAAACCTGCAGCGGATTTCAATCACAGCTGTAAGAGTGAGGCAGAATCACTTGCAGAATTGCAGAAGACAGATGTTATATCCTTCATATCAGCAAAGGATGAAATTGCTCTGCCCACAATATCTTAAGTGATTTCCCACTTTTCATAGTTTTATCAACTCATCCTTTGAAAATTAGAAAAACAGTTCTATAGGGCAATGCAAAGCTTTGTTATTTGGTAAATTGAATTTTTATGTTCATATAAACTAAATTCCAAGATGACAGGAAGTCAAGGCAATGAACAATTGTTAAAATGGTGGATTGAGGACCATGTTTCTCAGGTTATGAAGTTCAGGAATATATGTAATTGTTTTTGCTTCCAAGGGTTACTCTGTTCAACATTATGTTATGGCATACAACAGGGTCAGATTCAGATATAAATTGCAAATCAGAATTTGCTGCCCTGCTGTTGACACTAGGGCTAATCATGTAAGTCTAATACAGTTTTTAGTATATCAAGAACTGCTGAAGTGCAGTCTCAAGTACATATTGACTTAAAATTCCAAGTTTCTTTTTTTTTTTCAGGTTTCTGGGCATAGGTGTATTTTGATGTAACATTGATAAGAATTAAATAGTTATAGAAAATACACAAGCCATATATTGCAAATCAAAGGGGTTCAAAAATAATGAATATTAACTTTGCTGTCTATTATTCTTGATAGTAATTTTACCTTCTGGTAAAATTAAGAGTTAGGAGCTTAGAGTTCATTATATGAGAGTTTTAATATGTTCTTTTTTTTTGTACAAGAGGAGAGAGACATGGAGGAGAACAGAGAAAAATGTAGAGCTCAATAAAAATCAACAAAAAATAAAATAAAAATCCCGACTTTCAAAAGCAATAATTTTTCCACTTCAAAATTAAAATACTAAATAAGTTTTGGAAACAGATTTAAAGGCTGGGCATTCATCCATGTTGGTTAATAATAGAGTGTACTGTGAATGGGAACAGGCTGGGGGGGGGGTGGCAGGAGGCAGAAATACTAAGAAAGAGTTCCATATATACATATGAGTATTTTAGAACCAAATTTAAATATTGTACAGAAAGCCTCAGCATGGAAGTCAAATCAAGTATGTAAGCATATGTATGTAATGTTTGCCCACATAGAATATGGCNCTATTTCCATCTAGATATGTAATATAAAAATTTTCTTAATTTAAGAATAGGTTGGAAATAAGTTTAGAAATGAGACTATTTTTAGAAAGAAAAAATCAACTTGTTCAAAGTACAACATCCTTGCTTCCACACACAATCAGCACTCGACTTGCCTTTCCAAGCACAATGAAATCTCATGCAGCTGTCTGACATGAGTGACAGACATTTACATATCTCCATATTGCTGACTCTTTTCTAAGTTAATCTCATCTCACGTGAATTTTTCACCAGCTTCACTCTGATGTTGATAAAGGAGATGGTTCCATCAAATACATCTTGTCAGGTGAAGGGGCAAGTTCCATTTTCATTATTGATGAGAACACTGGGGATATTCATGCCACCAAGAGACTGGACCGGGAGGAGCAGGCCTATTATACACTCAGAGCCCAAGCATTGGACAGACTCACCAACAAGCCTGTGGAACCGGAATCTGAGTTTGTTATCAAAATTCAGGATATCAATGACAATGAACCCAAATTTCTGGATGGTCCATATACAGCAGGAGTTCCAGAAATGTCTCCTGTGGGTAAGTAAAATGCATGCTCTTTTTGTAATAAATATCTGAAAAATATGCTGGTCTGTGTGTAGTAATGCTCAGAATGAAAAGATATGATGACATACTAACAGCCAAGATTCATTCATTCAAATCCTTTTGATCTGCTTGGAAAATTAGGGGATGTTTTATTTTGTTGTTTTATATTTTTACATTTTATATTAATGCTATAGTGTTCAATTCGATCAACTCTCTTTGTCTTTAAGAAATCGCTTGTGCATTTTCCTTTCTATCACATAATTATTTGTTTAAAAATATTACAGTAATGTCTAACAAATTACTTTAAAAAAAATCTCTCGCAGTATGATCTTCCAACTCTCTTCATTATCATTATCTTCTTCTACTACTACTTCTTCTTCTTGATGTCTCTCTATTTAGTGGCAGATTGTTCTAGAGATTCCAAAAAGAAAACAAACAAACAAGCAAAATAACAAACTAATAAACTCTTTTCTATTAGTTCAGTTCCCTTTCTGATGTTACAAGGTTTCTGTTGGCTCCTCAGGGTGTACAGGGTTGCTGCTACATTGCATATATTGAAGTATCCAATGCCTAAACCTTTTGTAATCTCTTCACATATAAATTAAATACTGAGTGATTCTTTATAACAATAAAGCAATAGATAAAAAGAAAACAATAAAAAGCCTCCTCCTCTAATGTCTTTAAGCAATTGTCCATTACAAAAAATATATGGAAATTATTCATTTTACTTTAAAAATATATAAATTCTCTTTTAAATCTCAGTGCTCAGAGTATTTCTCCAACATCATTTTCTTTAGCTAGTATGTAATTTATGTTTATAAATTATTTTAATAGGACTGTAAAATAGGACAGCAGGTAATCTTTGTTGGTTTTGTTTTAATGGAGGAAGCACATATAAGATAGTATTGGTATTTAAAGCACATGGCCATTTTAACCACCATGCTTTACCTTGTTATATTCATTCAGTCCTTTGACTGATGCTTTTACAGCGGGGGTGGAATTGTACAGGTTAATGTTCCATTTATGGCATCACAATTTAGAACCCAATCTTTATTAATTATATGGCTATAGCTGCTGATATAATATAATATATATGATATGATATAGAGAATTATCAGGACATGTAGTCACTAGAGGTTCTAAACCAGGAGTCTGGGATTCTAACAATAATATATAGATATGCATTCTGTGACAAAGTCTATGTATTCCCTTATTCTTAATTCTGGTCATGCCTTCAAAGTGCTTCTTGCAGGTGCTGTTTGACAAAAATAACAGTATTAATAAAATGAAAAAAAGATTTTGTTGTTGGGTTGTAAGAAGCTAGAAATTTTCTCCCCAATTAATAACATTTGATAAATAAATTTGAAATGTATTTGATTGACCTTCATACTTCTATTTACTAGTATTTGGAATATTTTTCATTGACTAATAAACTTGAAATAGAATATGTTAATAACGTTTATGTAAAATTTTATTATGGAGATTACCTAATGCACCACTGTTTTGATTTGGATGATTTTACTCCAATATCAAGAAACATGTACATACAAATTATTTTATTATATTGATAGATTTGAATGATTTAAAATGTTTCAGAAAATTATTTTCAAATACTTTTAAAACTTGTTGAATGCTTATTTAAACAACTTGATTAACAAAAATTTCAAATTTTAAACATTGAATATCAATAAAAACTAAAATTTAGTAACATGTATTAAAGCTTCCTAAAGTGTTTGCTTATCACAAAATAGTTATAATCGCATTGATTGATACAGTACATCACCCATAAGCATTCAGTGTCTAACATTATAGCGCTCTTGTTTTTAATTTACACTAGGATATGTTTTATAAATGATAATAAGTCTGTAGAACAATTTCCAAATTGCTATAGAGCTTAGGAATAGATGGAAGTTTTTTATTCCATTTAGAGACTAGTAAGAAAGTTCAGTCCGTTAAGAGTTTGCTATGAAAGCAGGGGGCTCTGGGCTCAATACCAGGACCTATTAGAAACTGCGAATGCACACTTGTATTCCCAACACTGGGAGGCTGAGAAAGGGAGAGTCCTGGGTTTGCTCACTATTCAGTTTAATCTGCTCAGTGAGGTCCAATCAGGGAGAGACTCTGTCTCAATAATCAAGCTGGATGGTACTTTAGTAATGATGCACATGATTGTCCACTGCTTCCACAGTAGTGTATCACCTACACACAGGTAAAAAGCCACCAATACACATATCCAATCTTCATGCTCATTTAGGAATATGTGTCTATATGTACCTATTCAATAATTTAAATGTGCCAATGAACTAAACATTTATTTAACTTTTACATTTGCAAATCTGTAAAATGTAATTCTTAGGTTGATTTAGAAATACACACCATTCAATATTGGTTCTGCAAGGCATAGTCATTGAAGTTTACCAAAGAATAAACAAAAGTACAAGCAATTTTTATAACTTAACTTCATAATTTTTATTCAGCTATATGGGAGATAGAACTAGTATGGTATATCATAATATGGAAATTGAATAAAATTCTGACAAAAAATATATTAATGAAATAAGTACTAAGAAAAATGTATACAAAGCATAAAGATGTTAGTAGATTTAAAGTCCCATATTTATGAATTATTATAACCAAATTAATAATCATTCTTGTATTCCAAGTGCAGTGGAAAAACAGAACTTGGAATAAATATTTTCACTTTTTTTTGTTTTCCCTTTTACTCAACAAAATTTTCCACATAATATATTCTGATTACACTTTTTGCTCTCGAGGCCCTCCCAAATTTTTTTCCCACCTGGATCCACCACCTTTTGGTCTCTTAGAAAAAAAAATAGTCACTGATATGAGTATAACAAAATATCATTAGGAATGATTTCATTGATTATTGCCCCTTTTTGATCAATTGTGCAAGTGGAATGTATGTTTTGAATTAAGAAAAATAAAAAGGTAGTGAGGTAAGAGATTTGAAAGTAACTTTTTTTTTAAGAGAAAGCAATCAGGCTTTCAGAGGATAATAATAAAATATAATAATATAAGACAAAAACTAACACATTGAAATTGAATGAAACAACCTTCTGAAAACAGTCCAAAGCATGTAAATGTGTAACCACCTATATAATATAGATGCTTTGAGATCAGTTTTTATACTGCAGAATGCTGTTTTTACAACACTATTATTTTTCTGCTTTGGAGAGTTTTGGTAAAAATTTTTAATTCAGTATTTTAAAATAAATAAATGTAAATAAACAAGCAAAAAACTGAGAACACTTATCAAGGAAATAAAGTAATAAAGTAAACACTTAATATACAGTTAAGTGGACCACATACTCACAGCAAAAGTATAAATTTCAGCTTCCCTCTCAGCTGAATAATGAGCTGATATGGGCGTTAGATTTTTTTTTTATGACACTGTCTAATAAATGGTCCTTGAGACTGAAAAACAGTACTCTTAGAGAAAATTTCACACCTGAGCATGATGGGTGAGACACCTAATATCCAATTTCATTTGGTTTTGAGATTTTTTAATCTAATATTCATCATTCCATAGTGTCTTTGCCTACATACTTTCATAACACTTATTTTAAGTATTTTTATTAACATTTTTTAATTTGGTTTAACCAAAATATGTGTTAGATTGATATCTCTTTTTTCTAGATGATGATAACTTAAAACTAATAAATAAATGTAGCATAGAATTTGTGACACTTTGTGAGTACTTTAAAGTCCTTACATTTGGGAAATTTAATCCAAAGTGGTTTTGCTTGTTACCTAGGGACTTCAGTGGTACAAGTGACAGCCACAGATGCTGATGATCCTACCTATGGCAATAGTGCTCGGGTGGTCTACAGTATTCTACAAGGACAGCCATACTTTTCAGTGGAACCAAAGACGGGTAAGAAAGAAAATTTGCACTTACTGTAGTTACCATTTACATTCTGACTTGAACATATTACTTATTTTTATTAACATAATAATATTGAGTAGTTTTTATTTTGTTATTCTCAATATGCAAAAATCACTAAAAGTATCAGAGTAGGCAAAAGTTCCCCCCTGTTTTATTCTGTTTACCTATATCCATGAAAACACAAAATACAATAATATTGACCATTATTTTAGATGAGACTCCTGACCTTATTACGATATTTTGATTACTTGTTTGCATATTTCATTTTTATTTTATTTAATAATTTCATGTAGAAAATTAGAGAATTCATAATTTAAAACAAGCAAACTTTTTTGCATGAAGTGCAATATGAAATGGGTATATTTCGTACTTTCTGATGCCAATTCATAGGAAAATTTGAAGAAACTGTGAAATTTGTAAGATATTAAATTTAAAACTAAATAAGATTTTTTTCATCTTATAATAAATTCTTATAAGTTGCAAGGTTCTATTAATAGAACATTTCTATAGTTGATGGCTTAGCAGTCATTTTTTTTTTTTTTTTTTTTTTTTTTTGGTAAACAATAATGTGGCTTGAATTGCCTGGCGATGGAGGCTCATACTTTTAATTAAAACAATTGGAGGGCAAAGGTAGCTAAATCTTTGTGAGTTCAAGGCCAACCTGGTCTACAAAGAAGGTTCATAACAATCAGTGCTACACATAGACACCCTTTCTTGAAAAAACAAAACAAAAAAAGCTTAGATAGAATGATATATTTGAAGCATTATTTTTGTTACAGTAAAATTATATAACAGTGTTTTCTTTGTCATTGTGTGGACAGACTGGTTTGTCTCGATATTTTAAATGTACCCCTTTGAATATTTTGTACCCAATAAAATACAAAAAAAATTTTTCTTTTTAAGTTGCAGAATTTTTCAGGGGAATGTATTCCTAAAGATATTAGATTACAAGAGTGACTCTCGTTGAATATTTTAAAAGCAACGTCTATGTTGTTCATATTTTCCAAAGGAGAAACATACTATTTCATTCTTAAATCAGAGCAAGGGCAAATATTCTGCAGGCTCTTTCAAACAATAGTGGTTATGCATAAGAAGTAAGTAAAATCCTATTCAGTCATTAAAAGTTCAATACAATCTGTAATGTACGATTTGGCCCAATGTACATCAAGTCAAAGATAAAGTTGGGAAAATACATGGAAATCAAGTAGAGAATAAATTATCAAAATTGAGTGAGTGTTGAAGTTGAATGAATAAAGTCATTTGTCTTATGAGATGTACCATATTAGTGAAAACCTTTAAGTATTTGGTTACAAATTATATACATTTGCATTATGTAACTTGGTCCAAACTGCATATGGTAATACCAAAGGCTACATACTTCACTCTCAATGCTTGCCTTATGACTTTTAGTCTTTTTTGTTGTTGTT